GGGGGGGTGTGAAAGTCATGAGAACGGGGATGAGCCACGGGAGAGAACACGGGAATTTAAAGAATGAGTGAAACTGAAACAGGGGAATGACTCTTGATGAGCACTGGAGTGAATGGATTCTGTGTTTCTATTTTTGTATACTTTGAACTGTCATGTTACTGAATAAAGGCTGAAATAAAGCCCGAAAAACACACACACACTCCTCACTCTCCACTTACACACTTACTAACCACACACAGACACACTCACACACGCACATGCATAGACACACACACACACACACACACACACACACAGGAGCAAATTTTTGGGTCTAGATCTATATATATCTATTTCAATTTTCTAAAGCTAGTCTAGAGATTTTTAGATGAATGTAAAAACGTGAAAAAGAAAGGTTTCACAACAGAATTAAATCAAAATTAGTCGAACAGCCCATAAACAACCACAAAAATGAACAAATAAGGGTGTGTGTCAACCTGTCCGAAGAAAATTGCCTGTTTTAACCCTAAAAGTGCGTAAATTTTTAAAAAAAGTACAGGATATTACATGTAAACTATGGAATCACACACATTAAGGGGCCTGCCAGTGTCAGTACATGTAATCGGTTTTGGTGGAACGTATGCTCTAACATAAAACATTTTAATCTATACATGTATATATATTTAGAATCTAATGAAGGTAGGAACATCAAATTAAATGACGTTACACTATGCAACACCCCCCCCACCCCTTTCCCCAACAAAAAAAATGGTAGAAAAACAACACATCAGAACGATAACAAGAAAAAAAATTACACACTAACAAAATAAAACACCACAAAGAGTCAAAGAGGGAAAAATAAAAGTAACTGTAACATATTCAACAAATCAACGTGGTGACAACAAGTGAGAAAGAGACTAAGTGAAGCTAAGTGAACTTTCTTTCAAAAGTAAAGAGGTTTGGTTTTTTTGGTTTTTTTTTAAATTTGACTTTTATTCCCCGACCAAAAATTCGAGCCACGATTGATTGGTCGCGGCCGCGACAAACGCAGAAGCTAGTTCTATGTGTCATAATCAATAAAACCCTCTGTAGATCTAGATCTAGACAGCACACGAGTGAACACAACACATTAATCATTAAGTTTAAGAGCAGCACCCTTCATAGGCAACACGTCATATCTGTAGCGAAAAACTGTTTGGACTGTTGCATTTTTTTATATGATAAATATTTACTGCGGACTTTTTTGGACCGATTGAACCATATTGTATACGAACAATCTTTGGTAGGCCTGTACTCTATAATATCCGAAATTTGCGGGAAAGGATGTGATTTCAGTGTTCGGAGAAATAGTGCCCAGCTTTATTTTCCCGAACGTTCGGAGAAATAGTTCCGACCTATTATAATGGTCCTGTCTTGGGCTAGGGTTTTTTTTTTGAGTGAGGGAGGGTGTGGGGGGTTAAAGGCAGTGCCATTGGTCTTTTTGCAAAGATTTTTAGAAAGTAAATTAAAAACATGGCCGGCTCCATTTCTCCGAACTCTTTTTTTTCTCTGGACGGTTTCCGTTCTCAAGATTTGTTGATAATAAAAGCGAATGGAGTGGCCCGTGTGTGTGAGTGTGTGTGTGTGTGTGTGTGTGTTTGTATGTGTGTGTGTGTGTAAGGTGTGAATGGGGGGGTGGGGAATTTTTTTTTTACTTATGATGAAGGACTTTAGTTTTTGCTGGGTGACTAAATGCAAAATAAATAGGTTACTGCCAAGATCGAGTTGTCTTGTTTTCTCGCAGTACCTTTTGAAGGTACATGTTTTCAAATGAAGTATCCTCCGGGAACGTTGCCCCAACCACAACTGAAGTATCTGAATATTCAGACATTTAAAAATCTCCAGCTCTAGAAATTGAATTAGAAACAAAAAATTCTTCTTATTCCCAGTCCTCGCAGAATGGCAGAATTGAAGGATGGCGCCTAAATCTTGCAAATGACCAAAAAATCTTGAGATCGGAAACCGTTTGGAGAAATAGAGTTCAAATTTATTTTCCCGAACATTCGGAGAAATAGTCACTTCGTAAAAACATAGCAAGGAACCTTAGCATCCTTGGACTTGGACTGCTTTCATGGAAACATGGGGTATGGGCACTCAGCGCAAGCTTTGGTTTTTGGTCTGCTAGTAGGCCTATTTGGTTTGTAAGTATACTTCTATGCGTTTTTTTCTTGATCATGAATGCTCAGAATCAGTGACCATAGTCGGAGGATTTTGTACATATATGAAGAAATATGGTACATTTTTACTTTCACTCCCCCACACAGATGCATTGCTTTGGAGGAGGTCAAAGTGCAGTATTTTTTGCTGCAGATCACTCATAGACTCTATAGCCACTAAAACTGTTGCAAATCAATTTCCAGAAAATTTCAAACCTAACTGCAAAACATCAAATTTAGATTTGTTTTTCCTCTTTCTTTCGCTGTCTATAGCACGGTACCCATTCCCACCTGGGTGAAGTAAGGTAAATTTGTGTAAAGTGCTTTTCCCAAGGACGCAAGTTCAGGCCCCTGATGAGATTTGAATTCACAACCTTAGGGTTGCTAGTCGGAGAGCGAAACAACTAGGCCATCGATGCCACATATACCGCATGTATGCATACACTGGGTAACATTTAGGAAGTTACTTGATGTGGACAAGCTGTAACGTTAAAAGTAAAAAGATTTGTGGATTTTAGTCTTTGTTTTATATATATGACTTTTCAGGTATTTGCCTGGCAAATAGCAGACCAGCTTCTGAGAGTGAATCAAAGCTTGGAGTCATGTTACTTTGCAGCTCAAACGATGCGTACAAAGGTAAGTGAAATTAAGACGATGCTTTTGTTTAGTGGACAGTTGCTTGATCTCTGGTGTTTGAGTTTTCATTCGTCTTTTGAATGTGAGGGTTATTTAATTAGCATGCTTGGATTTGATTTTCGTGATTCTTTTGAATGTGAGGTTTATTTAATTAGCATGTTAGGTTTTGGTTTTCTCGTTGTGGATAAGGAACATTGGAAGATGCGAGGGGATCTTGGTCTTGTCCTGTTTCAGTTATTACCGAGTAGAAGTGGATCCACGGTTGTTTCAGAAATTGTCTGTCCTATTGTTTTGTGTTCTTGTATTTTTGTATGTTGAGACTGACTGTCGTGTCTAACGAGCTATTGACCGTTTTAGCAGTGTTTTCATTTGAACACATTTTTTTTAAAGACTCAGAACTGGGGGTCTGAGTTGTTCTGTGTACTTTTTTACTGGACTTCTCCACATCCAAAGAAGTTGAATCAATCGTTAGGTGAAGGTTCACAATAGAAATTCAATATAAAATGTTGTTTTGTTTAATTTATTTTATCCTTTTTACGCTTTTCGTACAAAGAAATATTATGGCACCTTTAGTGCCTCGGAATATTTAAGCTCTTTGTGTGTATTGACCTTGTGCATTCTCAATTTCAGATCCAGTATGCCTTCAACGAACTGCCAGCAGACTCCCATCAGGTGAGAAAATATCCGGTGTCTCTCAGCTGCAAGTTCAGCTATGTTGGATGTTAATGTAAACATCACTGTAAGAATGTTTATACATAAAGATTTGAGAAACTGGTTGCTGTGAGTCCATAACGGTAGTGCGATTGGTTCTTTATTTTTCATCAGTTGTTAAGCTTAGACTCTGATGGAAGTAGGATTAGGGTGTCATTTAAAAGTAAATTCACAGATAGAGAGAGAGAGAGCAAATTTTTCGCGTTTCGTATTTTTGTTAATTGTTGGCTCACTACTCTAGTAGTTCAGTGGTTAACGTTCATAAGGATACAAAGATTGTCAAGCAATGTCAGTGCAGTGGCTATTGGATTGGTGGTCACTGGAATATTTCTTTTAGAAGGGCATGTTAATCATAGCCCTAGAATACTGGGCACTGCACCATTGCAGTGGCATGCTTCTGTATTAAGTTGTCATTATGTTGTTCTGGTATTTTGTTTGTTTGTTGATATGTATGTCATCTCAAAACATATTTTTCAATGATTGCCAATAAAGTCGTCTTTTCCTTTCTGTACTCTGTTTGTTTCACTTTTGTATATTAATGCTTCATGTTACCTTTGGAAAGACATTAAAACATGCTACTGCTGGGCCATCAGTCTATACATGTAATAACCATTATAGAGGATAAAAGATTCCCCTCGTACTCCTAACTACCTAAAATTTAATCTTTTTTTTTCTTCTATCATATGTTCATTAAATAACGACAATTTCACAAAGTTCTTTCTTCACATTATAGACTTGAGTTGCTCAGTGTGACTTCTCTGTTTCTGTTCTCAGTCGCTCCGAGATTCCCTTCTAGAACACGCTTCAAAGATAGCCCCGGGCACCCCGCCCGTGATTGTCACACAGGTGAGTGATTGTTGTGCTGATGATTGATGCACTCGTGGGTCATATGCTGCTCATGAGGGATGGTTTGTGAGGTTTTCGTGAAAGTTGCTTTGAAATAATATATTAAGAGAGCGTTCTTCAGAATCATCCAGAATAAAATTGCATGCTCTTGATAGTGTTTTTGGGCATTACTCAAATCCAGATTTGGAGAGAATTGAGTTATCGATTCCACCTGATAGTTTAAAACATGGCGTACATTTCTGCTATCGTCTGTTGTCAATGTCTCAATAAATAAGGCAGATACAGAGTTTTGAAGATATTGAAAGAGGCCAAGATTTGTTTTTTTGGGTCTCCTCGTTTTACGAAACTAGCTATTCTGTCTTATTGAATTAAATAAAATTCCACAACTGAAAAATAAAGCAAAAGAAGTATGTTGTGTCAGTATATGGCAGTGCTTGCTTGAAGTGCCTCACATTCTTGGTTTACTTAACTAAAGATTGACAATGCTGAAATTTGGGGACAATTTCACTTTTTACCCCCCCCCCATAAAACCCTTCTGTTATCTTGGGAGAATGATTGACAAAGAGGGCTGGGAAGAACAGGAGCTGAAATTAAGTCTTTAAGACGCAGGCTGCTTTCACATCTGTGAACAGAATTTGGAGGATCAGAGATATCTCTCTTTGAACAAAGCTGAAGATTTTCAACTCAAATGTGAAGTCAGTCTTGTTGTATGGGTGTGAGGCAGGGAATACATCTCAGACTTTACATAAAGAGGATCCAGGTTTTCCCCGAACAAGTGTCTGAAAAGGTTACTCAGAGAATCAGATGGACAGACAGGGTCACCAGTGAGGAAGTGGTAAGGGGAATGATACAGAGCCCAGTCAGAGATGAAATGGGAAAAACTTGCTACTGGCATAATAGGCATCTACTGGATTAATATCTTTTTTTTTCTTTTTTTTTTGTGCTCATGTTTTGAGAAAATACTTTTGTGTCACGAGTTGGAAACAGGCACTTGTAAATCTTTGAGCATATGGAGTTATTGGTATCATCATAATGCTTGCTCATTTGCCTTGCTTAGAGGAAAAAAATATCAATCTCGGATAGAGGTGGGGATATATGTAATTGAAAGAGGTGGGGTTCACCTCATTTCAGAGGTAAAATTACTGAGAAAATGGCCGCCAAAGTTTGGTAACTTCATTAGTTTGAGAGTCCTTGAAAACTGAAAATTTGTGTATTTTGTGCCTTTCATCAAGGTTTTTCAGTAAAATTCACTTGAAAATGTGTTGCTTCATGGACATAAAAGGTGTTGAAATTCGATAAAAGTTGGCAAACTGTTGAAAAAAATGCCTGATTCTCCAGATTTAATTGTTTTGACGACCGCCTGATTTCATCTCGATGCCTCTCATTTGTTGTTTTGAGTCGTCACTCACCCGTGTCTCAGGTTTTCTCACACGTGGCCTTTCTCTTGTCCCCAGCTGTCCCTGGCTCTGGCAGATCTAGCCCTGCAGATGGCGACGTGGAAGTCGGCGGTGTTGGATTTTGTGGAGCGGTGAGGACACTGCAGGGACATTATTATCTCTGTTTTTTAGTTTTCGTAAGGTTTTACGGCGCTCGCAGCGGCATAAGGTCATATGAGCGCCAAGGAGTGGATGTCAACAACAGAGAAGTCCAAACGGGGAATCAGGCTTACTCTGCTCACCTCTCTAGCCACCTCAGCACAAAATCTGCTTAACTATCTAGGCACCCTTGAAATACCAGTTCACAAGAGAGTGACAAACATACTAAAGAAGTAGAGGAAAATGATGATAGTAAGGATGAGGAAAGAAAAAGCAGCAGTTCCCCTTAGGTTGTTCCGGCACAGTATGAGCATGACATTGATAAAATAGCCCGTTTACTATTCTACTGTGCACTTTTTGGGTGTGTGTTTATTACTCTCTTGTAGCACCTTTAATGTTCATAAAAAAAGGACCTCAATATTCTTGCTCATATTGTGAAATACATAGAGGTTCTTTTGTTTTTAAGAATGTTTTTTTTTAATCACTTTGTACTAGTTTTGTAAAGTGAAGAATCTGTGAAGCCAAAGTGGGATGGGTCCAATGGAAATGAATTGTATTAATTTATTGCTCTTGTTATTATTTGTCACTACTGATGCTCTGTTGTTCCATGTCTCTTGCAGGTTCAGTAAGGAACACATGGGGTTCTTACTAGAGCTTCTCACAGTCTTGCCAGAGGAGGTGAGTGGTTCTGTAGATGATTCACAAGGCAGGGATACTTAATCCTGATATGTAATGTAAAAATCCAAATGTGTATTACTTTTATTTTATTTTTTTTCTACTCGAGAAATTAATTTGTTATTTTCTTACTGATTGTTTATCACTCTGTGTATAATTTACAAGGATAAAGGTAAAAAATTGTTTTGTTTATCCTAACTCAAAACCCATACAATTTTGATGTTTTTTTTTTTTCTTATTTGTCTTCCAAACTCTTATTGTTTTTATTAAAATCTCTCCATGCTTTTGTGTTTGTATGTGTCTGTGTTTCTCTGTGTGTTGAAGCTGGAAACTGTTACGCCATGATTGATAGTTTATGGCTTGTTGCATTCTTCTACTTCCTCAGATCAACAGTCGTTCGTTGCGTCTGGGTGCCAACCGGAGAAAGGAGATCACAGACGAGCTGATCACAGCGTGCCCCACGGTCATACAGATGCTGACACACGTGGTATGGCCGTCTTGTTCAGGCTCAGGCTCTGGGACGTTGTTATTAGTTATATCAAGAAAGTGCTGATACAAATTAGGGAATTGTTTTTTTTTAAAATTAGAAAAATATTTGGATGGGACTTTTTTTTATGATGGTGGTAGCCGTTTGATTTTGTTTTTGATAAAAGGAAAGGTAAGCCAATTGTAACAGACACCAGCATTGCAATTAATGTTTTGGAATGATTGTAGTTTTACTTCTATTTTGATATTGTAAGATGCGAATATTTATGTTTATGACACAACACGTGGTATTGGGGTCTTGTTCAGGCTCAGTTGTTAAAAGAAAATGGAAACTATTTGTAACAGAGACCAGTATTTTTGGCATTAGTGTATTGAAATGATGGTAGTTTTACTTCAATTTTTGTTTGTGAGATGCGAATATTTTATGTTTATTCTTTTATAAACAAAATTTCTTACGCAGAGAAATTAAAAGGGTCTGTTCTTGCTTTTGTTTCCCCCTCTCAGAACACGAGTGCGGCGAGTGAGGAAGAGCGCGACCAGCGGGCCCGCAGCAAGACGTACAAGGTGTTGGGCAGCTGGTTCAGCGTGGGGGCCATGCCGCAGGAAGTGCTCCTCTCCACACCGCTCATGAACTTCCCCTTCCAGGCTTTGGTGAGTTCTGTCGTATTGTTCGTAAAATTAATTTCATGAACTCTATACTGAACAGTCAAAATAAAATCTGCACTGTTGTTTAGAATTTGTTTAAATTTTTGTATCGTAGACAGTTTTGGATCTAGATTTACCTTATTAGGGCTGCCAAAGCCTATGTTGTTTTAATCTGTTTATCTCTTTCTTTTTTCTTTGAATTAAATGGCCATTGTTGCATCCATATGCTTTTGGTTAGTCAAACTAAATTATGCGAGTTGTTTGGTACTGTTCAATATGGGATGGAAATCTTGTGACGACTGCTGCTTCTACTGAAAGAACAAATTCAATGGCACTTTTGCTTTTGGTTTTAGTTTATTTGCTCCATTCTTCTTTCTTCGATCCTTACTTCCTCCATCCTTTTTGCTCTCACCACTGGACGAAAGGTTCTCGCTGTGTAATAACCTATAAACATATAGTTAGACTTTGAACTCATTCAAAGGCCCAGTCAGAGATGGAGTTTGATTGAGGCTAGTTGGTGGGGGCTTTGGTGTGATCTGCTCCTTCTTTCCTATCAAACACCCGTGGTCCTGATCTCTCCTACTTCTTTTCTATGTTTGTATTACTCTTTTGTAGCACCTCTCATCTTCGACACTTGTATGACCTTATCGTGTTGCAAGTGCTGTTAAACTCTTACTAAAGCTAAACTAAAACTAAGAAGTTTTTTTGTTTTTTCTCCAGGCCAACATCCACTGTCCGCCGTTTCTCCACGAGGCTGCCACAGATTGTATTTGTGCTGCCCTCTACTGCACCGAGGTACGTTTTCTTGTTTTTCAGTTTTGTTTTGTTTTGTTAAAGTTACTTTTCATAGTCCATGTGAAAAGTGTGGAATTATTGCGAATGACTCAATGTCAGTTCAGCTGGTTCTCTTGGAATTGTCATATTGTCAAGCTTCTCTTTTTCATTTGGTAAAATCTTCATAGCAAATGTTGAATTTTAATAAAATGAATGCTTGAAAGTTTTTCTGTTTTAAAAAAATTAAAGCTACTTTTCATAGTCCGTGTGAAAAGTGTGGAATTATTTTGAATGACTCAATGTCAGTTCAGCTGGTACTCTTGGAATTGTCATATTGTCAAGCTTCTCTTTTTCATTTGGTAAAATCTTCATAGCAAATGTTGAATTTTAATAAAATGAATGCTTGAAAGTTTTTCTGTTTTTTTTTGTTTTTTGGTAGCATATTATATTTCTGCACTGACAGCTAACTTAGATTTGTTTGAACTGGCCCTATATACCATTTTGCCCTCAGTTAAAGTCAAGTAAAAATGGCAAAGTCCCCTATGTTGTGAACCCTCTGTCTCGTCC